TTGCGCCAATGTGTTACCAGCCATATTACAGCGCCTCGAATGAATTCATTTTTCGATTTAAAGCTTTCGTGACTGCAGGGATTCATCTTCTTGGTTCTTTCGGTAAAGTCACGTAGAATGGAAATAATAAAATAATAAAAATAAAACATTATAAAATAATTCTCACGACGTTTCGGCCACAACGCAAGCAGCATTAGTTGACATCTGAGGACGGCTGCTTGCATTGTGGCCGAAACGTCGTGAGAATTATTTTATCATGTTTTATTTTAATTATTTTATTATTTCCATTCTACGTGACTTTACCGAAAGAACCAAGAAGATGAATTCAAATTCTTGGGTTTTTTCGGTAATAAAAGTAAAATAAAATAAAAATCACGACGTTTTGGAGGCAACACAAGCTTCCGTCTTCAGGTGGAACAGTCACAGCACGATAGCTGTATCAAGTGAGAGAAATTCCAAGAAAAACCGTATTTTTATATATACTATGATGGACACGTTCGTTTTACCGCACCCCAGTTCAAGTTGCGGTGACGCGGACGGAGATCACGTGTCGCTGCCCCTGTGCAGACGCACTAATGAGCGCAATTAAAGTGCAATGCACTCATTACCAACGGAGGTGACTCATTGCCATGGGAGACAGAAACTCCGTCACGATATTTCTTTCCACGGAGTCCTAGGTCAAGGAAAACCCCATACAGTGGGACACAGAGTGTGCCCTGAGTATTGATTACCATTAATTACAATTACGAATAAAATTGGGCAATCTTTTTCGAATGCTTCCCCATACCATTTGATTTATTAATTTGTTTATTCATTTTAGATGTTGCTTGGTCGTAGGGTTTAGATTTGCTTGGTGTGTACGTGTGTGTGTTGGGCTTCTTTCGCGCCGTGCATAGCCAACTGCGTATATGGGATTTGGTCCTTATATAAAATTAACGTAGAGCGTTTGTGGGATGCTGTTGGCATGAATGACTCTATATAAAATGTAAGTATTATTATTGTCCGCTATGATAGCTATTTAACCATACTTCCCGATATCGCTTGTTGGAAATCAAACTCGGGTGGACGGTAATTGGTTTTTTACCCTTCTATCTGGCAACAAAACTGACACCTTTTTACAAGGAGTCATGTTTGCATAGACCACAATACCTGCAGTCATAATGCAAACAAAAAACATAACTCTGATAATGTGCACTGTCCTTGAAGTTGATTGGTCCACACCCGAGACAGCTTTCCTTAGAGCCTAGTCTCACATGGGTTGGACCAGATGACGCCAAAAGGCGCACTTTTGGCGTCACCTTTAGGCGTCATCTGGCCCAACCCATGTGAGACTAGGCTCTAAGGAAAGCTGTCTCGGGTGTGGACCAATAAACTTCAAGGACAGTTCACATAATCAGAGTTATGTTTTTTTGTTTGCATTATGACTGCAGGTATTGTGGTCTATGCAAACATGACTCCTTGTAAAAAGGTGTCAGTTTTGTTGCCAGATAGAAGGGTAAAAAAACAATTATCATATTTTTACTGGCAAATGAGGTTCCCATAGTCAGGTGGACGGGTTTTAAGGTGCGCTGTGCTAACTTCCACACGACAACTTCACCGCTGATCAACGTGACGTACCACACTGTTAAATTTCCTTCGGTTAAACCCCTGCATAAAAAAAATTAACACACAAAAGTAATATATTTAATCCTGTCCTCTTATGAAATACTTTCTGATTAATTAATATCTCAGTTGAAGGATGTGGAGATTTAACGCACAATCCACCTACATTACCGTATTGCACACTTATACGCATCATTCATACAGCATATACATGCATCATTGTGGTGCCACAGAGCACTGCATTAGTTCTGAATAAATAATTTAAAATCCGCGCTAATAAATGAAGCACTCGGCCCAGTATATGATAATTGAGCTCTATGATTCATTGAGGCTGCTACTAGCGTCGGGTGATACAATAAGTGGGGGGGGGGGGGGCTCAGGCAGGAAACGTCTCCAGAAAGAATAGTGGCTGATGGACAACAGCGATGACGGAGCGGCAGCCAGAGAGGTTGTTCACCGACGACGACATGGGGTCATGACCTCAGCTCGCGTGTGCAGGACGCTCGGTTCGTTGTTGCACCGCCAGAGGATTGCGAGAGATGGTGGTGGTGGTGGTGATGGCTTTGAGACTGCCTTCATCCAGAGCAGTGGATTGGCCATGGATGATGATGATGATTCGTAAGAGCAGTAGTTTATCATTAGTTGACATTGATTCTCAAACAAACCCATCAACGATCAAAATAGAAATATATACATTTGTTTAAATGAAAAGTAAAATCAGATTTTAATTTACGTGTGTATATATGTTGAATGTCTTTCGCGCCGTTCGTAGCCATGACAGGATCAGTTAGTTACTGGTGTGCAGTGCCCATGGTTATTTTGAATAAACTCAAAAGGGGGGAGGAGGAGGAGGAGGAAGCCCCCGATCTGAGAGGATGCCAAGCATCAGACGTTCGATGGGGCTGCAGCCGTCTCAGTCGATTGACATGGCGACGGACAGGGAGAGAAGTGGACAGATGACTGTCAGGGGATTTCAGTAATGCAAACGGTCATGCCCCAACAGGTGCCTAAAGGCCAAGGGGCTTAGAGTGGAAGAAGTTCACGGGGTGAAGTAATGCCTCCACTTGGTTTTCATCAAGCAGCATTCTAGCTTAACACACGACACAGAATGGCAACTTCTGCAAAAGCCTTCTCTCATATCCCGTACTGCTAAGATGTGTACAAAAATATTTCCATACAATTTATGTATTTAATAACAAAAAAATACAAATCTAACATTGGGGCAGCAAGCTCGTTCCACCATCTTTCTATCCCCTGCTCTTCACACTCGGTTTGGCTTCTGTTGACGGTCTGTGTACGTGCTTCACGACGTGATGTAACGGGCCCTCCACATTGCCTCGGTAAAAATTGTATATATACAAAACAAAAACACTACACGCTACAATTTAAATTTTGGTTTTATGACTTTGCACACAAATATGCCTGAAATGATTGAATGTTATTTTATACTCTGAGCCAAGGACTGTTTCCCGAGAATTTGAAAACAACATACGGGGAGCTGCACACTTGCTGTGCAGGGATTTCCGCACCAGCTCTCTGAAATTGAACAGGATATGAAATTCAATTTAGGAACGTTTGCCACCGGCAAGGCATGTTAAATCGACACACCTGTGGCTGCTGGCTTTGGAATGTGCATTTAATCATGAAATGTAAAACACTCAAATGCCACCTGTCTCTCAGTTTCCCAAATTGCACCCTTGCGTAGCCATGCGGTAATGTGCCACAAAGGATTACGGTGCATAACATGGGCACTGCACTCAGCAAAAAAAAATTCCACATTTTACAATTAGAAAAGTAACACCTTATTATCTGGATTATTAGGTGCCAATGTGTCATGAAGAGCGCAAGTGAATCAGGGGCACTGCGCTGAGCAAAATCACTGTCACCCTTTTCGAATGCAAAAGTAACACCTCTTAAAATTTCGATTATAAGTGCCAATATTTCATTTGGATTGCAGTGAATATATGGATATTGCACGAAGCTAAACCTTTGCCACCCTTTATGACTTTACGCAAAGGTAATCCCGTATTTTCTGGATTATAAAGCTCTCTGTAAAGTAAAATGCACCTCCAAAAGTGTGGCCAGTGTCAATAAAGTTACACAAAACTATAGTCTCTCTCTCACACACACACATGCACCTCGATCGGATTATTAGAACCATCCCCAACTTCTGATTTACAACACATGGGTGAAAGGGCATCATGTAATCGAGAAATATGGTATTTATCATTTTCTTTATACAGGAACTCATCGCCATCACTGAGGATACCACTTCAGGAGTGGGTTATGCTACATTGGCATGTTTAGCCAATTCCATTAAATGAGTGTATTCATAGGGAAGATAAACTGGATCACCCGGGGGTAACCCACGGATACGAGAACGATGACGTAGCACAGTCAAACCTCGATTTAAAGCTTTCGTGACTGCAGGGATTCATCTTCTTGGTTCTTTCGGTAAAGTCACGTAGAAGGGAAGTAATAAAATAATAAAAATAAAACATAATAAAACAATTCTCACGACGTTTCGGCCACAACGCAAGCAGCCGTCCTCAGGTGAAAACCAGGTCCGTCGAGGCGACAGAGTCTGAATATGCTCTAAGCCCGTGTGCTGTTTCATTCAGACTCTGTCGCCTCGACGGACCTGGTTTTCACCTGAGGACGGCTGCTTGCGTTGTGGCCGAAACGTCGTGAGAATTGTTTTATTATGTTTTATTTTTATTATTTTATTACTTCCCTTCTACGTGACTTTACCGAAAGAACCAAGAAGACAGTCAAACCTTTTTACAGATAGATTCAATCATTTATTGCTGCGTCGATAAATATATCCTGGCCACCACACAGCCCAAACTTACAACACCTGGTCTTGTCAGGCAATCTCTCATTTAAGGTGGGGGCAGGGGGGTTGCCCTTTAAATGTTTAAGATGAGCGATATGAGTCGTTTATATATTATGAAGCACTCCGAGACGTCCTGGCGCAATGGGCGCCCGAATCAGCAGCAAATCACGATTAAGAAGTACGACACGGGGGAGATCTTTGTCAAACTTAATTTGGAGCTTTCGTGACTGCAGGAATTATTCTTTGGTTCTTTCGGTAAAGTCACGTATAAAGATAAAATAATAAATTAAATTAAATACTAGCATACGACGTTCCGATTGCAACACAAGCAATCATCATCAGGTATAAATTAAATAGAAACACAAATCTAGTATACTTAGAAATGTAATGTAATACAACAGAGAGTCGGATAACATAACAGTCAATGGTTGATTACGTTCTTCCTGAGAATGCTAAAATTTGAGAGAGAGATAAAACACAGAACCAGAAACATATAGACAGACATATAAGCAGACAGATATCAAAGAGATCTTTGTCTTTTGTTCGTGAGTCGCGGCCTCACCGTCGCTCGTCTGGCTGTAAGAGTCGTAGGAGCTGCAGAAGGAAGGCACTTGCACGCCCGCCGAGCGGGATTTGCTCAGCGGTGGCTCCCGTGCCACCGTCTCGGGCGGCAGTGGGTAGCACTGCATGGTGGTAAAGTTGGGCCACGGTTCCGTGAGGGGCGACGGAGGTGGCGGAAGGTCGTCGTAGGACATACTCCCAAACGCGAGGTCCCCGTCGTTGTCTATGGGGTCTGGAGGGGAGGGGGGCAAAACAACAAGATGAGGTTGAGACGATATTTGATGCATTCACTGCAAACAGTGTTGCCTGCAACATATTCCAAATACAATGATAACGCAACCATTATTGCACCTTGTACTACTACTATTTTTATTTATACCAGGTAAGGCCCAATAAACTATATAGCTTTGTTTTCAGACGCGACTTGGCCACGATTGATAGCTCAACGAAGTGGCTTATCACGTGGAAATTTATCGCAGCAAAATGCTCGAATCGAATGTTTCTAAATGTGGAAAGAAAAACCGGAGGATCCGGAGGAAAATCCATGCATACCAGGCGAGGTAGTTCACGTATCTTTAATATGAACGATGCCCAATAAATTTTTAGTTATTTTATATTCCGCTGCTGCCTTAGTGTTATGGTTACCACAATGGTTGGCAATACAGAGGCGGTTGACACGATGCACAGTTGATACAATGGACAAGTCTCTTAGATTCCCCCTCCCGTACATCTGTCTAACAACGGTTGAAATGGGTGCCCTACTGTCAATCGGTAGGTGACGTTTGGTGGGGTAAAGTGTGGGTACCCCCCCCCCCCCACCCCGTCCCAGGATTCTGGCGAGCATTTACGATTCGGCCAAAATGCGCCCTAAAAGGGTTCTGCAGAGCTCCGCCTGGTGGCGTCTATTTTTCTAGCAGTGGCGTGAGCAAGCAATTGCAGGGCTGCACCTTTACCCCCTTTTTATAACCTTTACTTAATTTAATTTAAATTAATTATGTTGGTTCTCTTTTCCACTCACCCAATCTACCCACCGGATTTCGTCATCGGTCTTCTAAACCATGTTGTGCCTTCTATACCATGTTGTAACTACACGCGAGCTTCATGCTGCATTATTACAATAGTTATAGTGATAAGAATGCCAGCGATAAAAAAATACATTATCCGGAAAATCATTATTTGTGCCATTCTCTAAAAAACACAAAAACATCACATTCAACGCATCTTGTTTGATGCCACCATCGTCTTTGCCAATAAAACAATATCTCTGTAATCAGAACCAAATTCACCCAACTAATGGGAAATTAAAAAAAACACATTCACAGTGGACATTGATGAATTATGCTCATCTCACAATGCCCTCTGTAGGCTTGCATGTGCTTGAGAGTGCTTGTGTCCCACACAACCACCTATTATGGAAGCCCGGCGTTATCCAACAGGTTAACAACAATGGTCGACCCCCCCCCCCAAAAAGGAAATTTATTTTGTAGGCATATACACCATACATACATACAATAGTGTCAGTAGAATCTGTAGGCATATATGGCTACACCTCAAGGCTGTAGCCAGGGAGTCAACATTGGGGGGACTAAATTTTCCAGGGGGTCTGGGGGTGTCCCCCCTCAGAAAAAAAAAATCTAAATTTTAAAACTAATTTCCTGCCTAAAATATAAAAAAATTCACTAACACATGGGATGGACTTTTCATTTTATTTTTTACAATAATGTCTAATATTACATTGCTCTGTTTTTTTCTTTTTTACCATTTCTTGTTTCGTTGTATGTAATGGCAGAGATTAGGGATTACTAAAGTACAACCATAACCACAATCATATAAACATAAATCTATGCATTGTTATATGAAGACAAGTCCAGATATTGTAGACAATGTTTAACAAAGTGTTGTTTTTATTTACATAGCGTAGCAAATTTTTTTTATATTTTTTTAGCAATATATTGGGGGGGACATTTTGTGCATATTTGAATATTGTCGATGTTACAAATACAATAGTCAGTAGTATCGGTAGGCATATATGGCTACACACCCTACATACAATAGTCAGTAATATCGGTAGGCATATATGGCTACACACCCTACATACAATAGTCAGTAGTATCTGTAGGCATATATGGCTACAAACCCTACATACAATAGTCAATAGTATCGGTAGGCATATATGGCTACACACCCTACATACAATAGAGTCAGTCGCGTCTGCACACATGGGGTGAAGAAGAGGGCATCCGTGGGTGCGACAGGCGAGGCGTGAGAGCCGAGAAGCCCTCGGCAGGAGTGAGAGGAAGCTGATCGTGGGCCGCGGAAATTGTCGTGTTTCAAAATTGAAGGAAAGTTTCTGGTCTCAAGTCTGTAAATGACTAGAACCTATCAAAAGTTCGGGCTGTAGAACTTTGAAACAACACGAAAATGCACAAGCCGAAAAAACGCATCAACATTTCCTGAATAAGTGCATTGCAGTGCTATTGTTTTTGGGGAAACATCAAAATAAAACGGCAGCAGATGTGATAAACCGGCAGTCGCTGTCATGCAATGATAGACAACACCGTGGTGGGGTTTCGTTCTCAAAATAATTTGAGCCCTATTTCGATTTAAAGCTTTCGTGACTGCAGGGATTCATCGTCTTGGTTCTTTCGGTAAAGTCACGTAGAAGGGAAGTAATAAAATAATAAAAATAAAACATAATAAAATAATTCTCATGACGTTTCGGCCACAACGCAAGCAGCTTGCGACGTTTCGGCCACAACGCAAGCAGCTTGCGTTGTGGCTGAAACGTCGTGAGAATTATTTTATTATGTTTTATTTTATTATTTTATTATTTCCCTTCTACGTGACTTTACCGAAAGAACCAGGAAGATATTTGAGCCCTCTTGTGGAGCTTGTGCAGCTGGAAACACAGCGGCAGCAACAACATCAGCAGCAGCAGCACAACAGAATTACGTTGTGTGGGCGTTTGCAACTGAGCGCGCAGACCAGATGTGCTTCAGATTTCTTACAGTCAATCCTATTCCCATTCCACACCTACAGCACTGGCTACAAACGCAGGCAATACACATTCACCGTGCGCATAGTAGTAACACGTTATACTTCAGCAGCCACGGGGAGAAAAAAAAAAGTCGGAGCGCTATTTGTGCGGTGCGCATGCCCCAGCTCTCCACAGGCACTTTGCTCTTGGTTGTTTAATGATAATCAGTAGCGGGTCAGGCACAATTAGGCACAGTTAAACACAATTGACAGTTGGTTTCCTTTTCTGCCACAAACATCCATTCACGATCTATTGACTGTGGCTGCTGGGGCTGGGTGCACACACAAAACCCACCGCTCTTAATTTTGAGTTTTTTTTATTCATGCCAAGATGTGGATTGACTTTGGTTATCATCAGAGCGAATTTGTAACATCGACCTGTGCTCCGATTTCTTTTCGCATTCATTTCCGAGTCGTTTAAGCCGGTTATTTGTATTTTTGTCGTCAATCTTTAGTCTCGAATCATCATCTGTCTGTATATTTCTTCTCCCTAAGTGCCACTTTGGACAATTTGCTCTGTGTTTGCTCTCGAACCTTACTCACCACTTCCACCGCTCTACCCATTTGTACCAATTCTAGATTTGAAGCTTTCGTGACTGCAAGGATTCATACTCTTAGGTTTTTTCGGTAAAGTCACATAGGTAAAAAATTTAAATTAATAAAAGTAAAATAAAAATAAAATAAAAATCACGACGTTTCGGAGGCAACACAAGCTTCCGTCTTCAGGTGGAATAGTCACAGCACGATAGCTGTATCACTTGAACAGTCACAGCACGATAGCTGTATCACTTGATACAGCTATCACTTGATACAGCTATCGTGCTGTGACTGTTCCACCTGAAGACGGAAGCTTGTGTTGCCTCCGAAACGTCGTGATTTTCATTTGTACCAAGTTGATTCATTATTTAAAATGTTGACACCCATTTCATACATTTTACAAAACAATTATTCGTAATTTGTCCGTTTAATTTATAGATATACAGGCATCATACTACACAGCATACGATGTATATACAGTACACCAACACGCACACTCCACTAAAGTTAATGTTGGCACTTTATTCCATAGGCATTAAATAACCAAAAATTTATAGTACTAAACTATATTGTTATTTAAGTCTACGGCTATTTAAGCCTACCAATAATATTGTTTAGACCTCAGATTTCTTTAAATTAAAATGCCCTTGAATACCAAGGGCAGCTTGCTAAATAACACTGCTGCCTTGTTTTTTACGTGATAATTATACTCGACTCCATCTTCCAGAAAGTATTGACTACCCTTCAGAACAATTCAAACTAAGTAATGCACCTGCCTATTCAACGTCTCCAACAGTGCGAGGGTGTAATACGATAGCAGACTGGGCAGGCAATATGCAGCCAGCAGTTAAAAGCCTCTGGGACATGAAACACTTTCAGCGAAATCAGGGAACCATCCCAAACGCACATACCAACAAACGCGCATGGATTTTAAAGACAATACATCATATGTACAGTGTCCTTCCGCCAATATTGCCATAGTTCAGAATATGTCATGAATTTATCTGTGATGAGACCAGATGGCAGCTTCCACATTCTTGGCACAGGCTGCGACACAGCCATGGATTAGCAAACATTTAATTTTGCCGTGGCATATTCGCTTTTGTTCTGAAATGTGGCTTCGGTTTGGAAGTCGCACTCTTTACAGATGAACAGAAGAGCATTGCAAAGCTAAACTTTGTTAGCTCCAGCGTTGATGCAAAAGAATTCATAGCCATTTAAAGTTGCAAATATACAGGGCTGCTTGATAGAGAATTGTAAATCATGAGGCCTCCTTTGCCAGTACCAAAATATACTAATAGGGTTTATCCCATTTTTTCTGGCAAATAAAACTAACACCTTTTGCAAGGAATCATGTTAACATTAACCACAATACTTGCAGTCAAATGCAAACAAAAAACAATACTCTGATAATGTATGCATTGTCCTTGAAACTGATTGGTCCACACCAGAGACCGCTTTTCTTAGAGCCTAGTCTCATTTGGTGTTCGACCAGATGACGCCAAAAGGCGCACAGTTAAAAAACAACGCACAATCATGAGGCCTCCTTTGCCATTACCAAAATATACTAATAGGGGTTTTCCCCTTTTTTCTGGCAACAAAACTGACACTTTTTGCGGTTAATGTTAACATGATTCCTTGCAAAAGGTGTCAATTTTG